AAAATGATCCTATGCCCCGTTCTCCAGGAAGGTTTAAAGGCCATCAAGTTTGGGACAAATTGTTTATAAAATATACACACACAGACCAAACTATAGAGAAACATGACGTTGATACGACGTGCCTGCAACTTCATGAAACTGACGTCATATTTCACCCATTCAAGTGAAGTTCACTCAAAGTCGTAATGAAGACGTGATTATCACATCATACGTCGTACGTCGTAGTGACGTCAGGAATTGGTGTGACGTCTCTGATGAAAAATCACCAATTGGGTACGTCGCAGTGACATGGCCATTCGTCATCTGGTTGCCTGGATGGGTTGTTTTGTACAAATGATATGAAAAATATATCGAATAGAGAGAAACTCAAAGTCATTACCACAATAGTTCATAAAATGAAGAAAAATGGTAGATAAAGAGAGAAAAACAACTACTTTCCTGTCTATATGCCACGCAGAACATCCCGAAATCTATGCAATAATTCGTACAGACGAATAAAATCGCAAGTGTTTCCTTCTTAAACGCCGAGCTGCGCCTAAGTGGTTCAGGAACGAGTGACTACATGCATACCGGTTTCGAGCTGTTGGCTCTCATCAGTACAGGGCTGTCCCAGATCGTTACCACCGATACAACAAGGCCAGCAGACTCTGAAGTAAACAGCTCGTGACGTCGCCAAGAGAGGCCAGTGTTTTATTTTATCGCTTGTCGACTAACGCGTCAGATCGTGTTAATTCATCGGTGATTCACGTATGTTTTTGGAACGGTCCCGAATTCTTTTTTTGTTTATTCATCAAAATAATTGGCGGAAAAATTACTGTTTTGTGAAATATTTTTTGTTGTGATCGGCGAAATAACAATGCCTTTCAAGTGTTGTGTTCCCTTTTGTCGGGGAATTATGTGGGTGGTTCAAAAGTTCATGCTTTTAGTTTCCCGTTGGACGAGGAGCTATCGAAAATGTGGGTATTTATATGCAATTCACCGCGAGGATTTTACTCCATCTAAGTTCAGTAGTAAACAGAGCTTAATTTATAATGATGAATTAATAATAGAAGACAATTATTCTCTCATAAAAAGTATAAGTAGAGGAAAAATAGAAAAGTTTTGATTGCGCAGTTAGTTTTGTATTCGTATATTATAGTCAACAAAATCATCTCTGAATTCGAGGAAATTTTCTTGAATGTTCATAAATGGTCATTTGCCTCGTGGCAATGAATGCAGAATTCATTCCAATGATCAAATTGCAACAATCATATTAACATGAACTACAAACACTCTACTTAAAAAGGTAAAACTGCATTTATCATGATATTTATCATGAAGATATTTGACTAAAAAGTTCCAAATTTCACCTTCTTTTTCACCTGTCTTCTGGATGGCATTTAGAACAAATTTCCCTTCTTTTTTCATCATATTGGACAATTTATATATAATTCAACTATAAATATGATTTTCTTGAGATTAATCCATATTTAGTGAAAAGAAGGAAGAATGTCATTCAAAATAATGGCGTGTGTAATGTCATTCGAAAGCAATCTATTGACATTTGACATCTCGTATTTTGATTGACTATTGATTAAATGGTCGTCATCTGGAATGCTTGTTCACTAAATATGAAAAACTCGCCATAAAAATCATATTTCCTGTTGAATTTTCTATATAAAAATGTGCCATCGAAGTACATCATGAGTATATAAAGTGTCCAATGACAAAATAAGAGCAAGTAGCTTCAAATGCCCCCAACACAAGGGGAGAAAGACGGCGAAATTTCGAACTTTTTCTTGAAATATCTCAATAAATAGTGGGTTGTTCACATTTTCATTATAAAATTCGGTTCATCAGACAAAAACACGTGAGTACCGAAAACAATTTTCAAAAAAAAACCATCACATGATAAATGCAGTTTTACCCTTAAAAATTACGGTTTCAAGTGTAACGATCCACTTGGGTGAAAAATCCAACAACAGAAAATTGAAAACACTCACTGGTTATTTTTTCAGGTAATAGGAATTCTCCAAGGTAAATATAGGTAATTGTAACAAACGGCATGTCAATCAGAATAAAATACATTTTCCAAAATTTTCTTTCGATCAATCTCACGATAAGTTTATGTTCTGCGGGCCCTGTATAAGTAGGTGTGAAGTTTACCTTCACCACAATTTTTGCCAATATATTTAATTCGAATGGGTTGCTGTATAGGTGGATATTTGTGTTTTATCCTGGTTTTTGCTTTAAAACTTCGTTTTTCCATAATACAATCGCATGGGGTGCGAAGAAGGGCTCTCAGTTGACGACTGGCATCCTTTTTTAACCGGAAGCCCTTCAAAAAACAGCAAAATCGGCTCAATGATGATCTAAAACTAAAATCGAAATACGCGGTCGCCTTATAGCGCTATAAGCGCATGTCGTTTCGAGCCGCTGGTTAGGCCTCACTAAGTGACGTCACCCACGGAGCATGCAGGCCTTGTTGTATCGGTGGTAACGCCCAGATAGCTTCTTGACCGCTATCTGGTGCGAACCTGATTTCGGGAGGATGCAATCCAATGGTCTGCGTGGCATATTGCCAGGAAAGTAGTTGTTTTTCTCTCGTCATCTACTATTTTTGTTCATTTTATGAACTATTGTGGTAATGACTGAGTTTCTCTCTATTTGTAACCATTGCATTTCACTTTGAGTATTTGGCTTTTTCCTAGTTGAAAAATATATATTTTTCGATTTAAATTTCATTACAAATAGTCCTGATTCAAATATTGAATAATTTGCATGAAAACTGTTGTAAGACAGATCGTGACCGAATATCAACCAAATTATACAGGGTGAGTCATAACTATTGGGACAAAGGCTAAGGGCGGATTGTTTGGACCAAAATATGGCGATTGGACCAAACATGCCTTGATAAAATATTGCTGTGAAAAGAGATACAGGGCGTTAAAGTTGATTTTTTTCGTTTTTTGTCGTTTATTTGCTAATAATTTCACTGTATATGAAATATATTAGAGAAAGTTTTGTGATTCGGTTGCTTTCTGACTAGATATTAGAGATATTAAAATTCATACCTTCTGATTGCATCCCGCATTTATTCATTCATAAAATGATTGTGACGAGGCATTTCAATAAAAAAAATTTTGACTTTAAACTCGCATCAAAATTCATTCTCTGACAAGAAATGTCATTACCAGCAACATTATCTGACAGGTCGAAGCACACTCTTCATGAATGAAATAATATTTGTAATTATCTTCTGAGACTCGAACTGTTCAATAGCGTTTTTCTCGAAAACGGATGAAAATATCGTAGAAATGATGTCTAGGTCATTTTTTTCATCAAAATCACTCGGAAGTTTCGTCAAAAAAAAGTTACCATTCACGTGGCGCCCCCTGTATCAAAATGTGGAATAGTACATAAAATAATATTCCCTGTATGGAATTATGCCTCTGTGTCAATTTTGATAACAATTGATGAATATCCAGTGAAATTATTGGCAGAAAACGAAAATAAAAAGTCAACTTCAACGCCCTGTATCTTTTTCCACAGCAATATTCTATGAAGGCATATTTAGGCCTATCGCCATATTTTGGGCCAAACAATCTGCCCTTAGCCTATGTCCCAATAGTTATGACTCACCCTGTATATTTTCAGTGTAGACATGTATGAAATGTCCTAGTGTAGTCAGCATTTCTCAACTTTTTTTTTAAGCATTAATGGACTCTTATCACTGGATTTGCGAAAGGCATTTGATACAGTCAATTTTGAAATTCTATTAATGAAATTAACTCAACTAGGGATAAGAGGTAAAGTTTACTCTCGGTTTGAAAATTATCTAGTTGATAGAAAGCAGTTTGTGTATATGGGAGATTCATTTTCTTCAATAAGAAACATATATTGTGGTGTACCCCAGGGATCGATTCTCGGACCTATTTTATTTCTAATTTATATAAATTCTATCTCAAGATTGAAATTACAAGGGAATTTAAAATTATTTGCCGATGACACAACTCTCATTTATTACGGAAAAAATATACAAGAAATAAAAAACCAAATGGAACAAGATCTCGCTTCGATAACATTATGGTTACAAGATCATAAATTGACACTCAATTTCGATAAATCTTCTTTTATGTTCATCTCGAAAAGAGTTATACCTGATAACCAAAAAGATCCGTTAAAATTCGGGAATTTTTGTATAAATCCTACAAAAAACTCCAAACTCTTAGGTTTAACTATAGACAAGACTCTATCTTGGTCATCGCATATTCAATTGCTCAGGAAAAAAATATCTCCCATTATTGGTATATTATTCAAATTGAGGTCTTTTATACCTCTTAAATACTTGAAATTGATTCATTTCAGTTTGATTTACTCTAAATTGCAGTATCTGATATCGATCTGGGGTACTGCAGCAAAATCTGTTTTGAAACCTCTGAAATCTCTTCAAAATAAAGCCATAAAGTGTATTTATAAACTACCATTTCTGGAATCAACATCTAGACTATACAAACCAAGAGATCTACTAGATATTGACTCTCTCTTCAAAATGAAAGTATGCATTTTCATTCATTTCACTAAAAATAAGAAAAATCACTCGAATCTTACTTTCAATATCAATTCTGATACCCATGAGCATCACACCAGACAAAGTGAAAATTTGAAAACTGTTAAAATAAAAACCCAATTCGGGAAAAAATCATTGTATTTTTGTGGAATAAATATTTATAATAGTCTACCCAACAGAATAAAATCTATTAGATTCGTCACAAAATTTAAGTATGAACTGAAGAAATATATTTTATCAATTTAACTCTCCCCTTGTATCAATTAATTCTGATTGAACTGTTTATCTTTCATTGTATTGCATATTTGATTTTATTTTATTTTGTTGTTGTTTCCCTCTATAAACATTGTATGTTTCTTGGGATCAATAAAATGTTATTATTATTATATCCTTTATGTTCAACCAATCTGTTCAACTGTATCAACATTGATGATTTTGATTTATGTTACAGTAAAAAAGATGAAGTGGAGGGGGAAGATACACTGGTAAAGTACCTAGAGAATGAAATTGGGCTGACCGAACAGTGCCTTCTGACAAATCCAAAATCATATGGCGTTTGGCATCACCGTTATTGGGTATTGAATAACCATCCAAAACCAAACTGGGAAAATGAGTTTAATTTATGCACGAAGTACCTGACCATGGATGATCGAAATTGTAAGAAGACAGTTTTTATAGCAAAACACCGAGAAAAATTCATAATAAGGACGGTTGTGAACACAACAATCTTCCTCTCTCTATCTCAGGTCATTTATCACCCTATTTACAAAGCAAAATTGATTGATTATTCTTCACCTCATAATAATATCATGTTGTAATGAAACTATTTGGAACATCATTCTGTGATTTCATATTATACAGACACCGGCAAAAAACCAGCCAGCAAAAAAATTTGTCTTGCCAAATTGTGGATTCATGTTTTGGTATATTAGCCTAAATTTTGACTGTTGACTTGCTTATTATACAGGGAAAAACAAAAGTTACTTCTTCACCCTTAACTTATTCTTAATGCTTAATGCTTAATTCTTAATGCTTAGCTTCATTATATTTTAGATTGAAGTGTATTTTAGATTGAAGTGTGACCTTCTTAATACAACGGTTTTTCATTCACGTCAATATCTTCATTTTAAGAGAAGATACAAGTATTTTAAGAATGTATGGAATTATTTTTTGTCAACAAACCTTCTGCTTCATTCTGGTTTGGATCGAAGTGCGATCCATTTTTGATCCTTCTTTGCACATCAGTTCTTGACTTAGTCGATATCTTCTGTGTTATAAGAAACTATGGATTTTTGAAATTTTCATTAACAATTATTCCGAACCTATAGAGCATCTCCTGGATGAGCTCCAGAGGCTCATTCGCCTTCATCCGGCCATCAAGAGCAACGATTAGGTCTTCAAGGAGTATTTCATGCAAATCCTCAAGACTTCTTGAGAAATTTGATGAACTCAATTCAACCCCAAGGAGGGCATTCTTGTTATTGACTACATCTAGGTGGTCTGCTTTTTATTTGTGTTTAGTAATTAAGGTTTCTTTTTGCGGATCAGTTCTGAAAAAAACGGGGTGGATATAAATAGAGGTGATTAAATTTTTCAGGACAGTCTCACTTGTTCTCTCCAAGTGATCGTATCGTCTGTTTTGTGTGTTTTTTCAACTATTTATCTATAAAGAAACATGACTGGTTGTGGCAAAGGAGGAAAAGGATTGGGAAATGGAGGAGCCAAACGTCACCGTAAGGTTTTACGTGTAACATTCAAGGTATCACGAAACCGGCAATAAAGAGATTGGCCTGTCGCGGTGGCGTTAGGAGAATCTCTGGTGGAGTGTTGAAAGTATTCCTGGAGAATGTTATTAGAGATGTTGTTACCTATACGGAGCACGCCAAAAGGAAGACAGTCACCTGCATGGATGTTGATATGCATTGAAATGTCAAGGCCGCACTCTGTACGGATTCGGAGGTTAAACATTCTATTTCTGCTCTATCTAACGACAAAAAAGGTTCTTTTCAGAGCCACAAATTAATTCTATAAAGAATTCGTTCCAATAATTTTTCAAGTTATTAATTGATACGTTCATGTAGGTTGTGCAAATTTTAAAATATCCATACTTTCCTAAAACACTTCTTATCTTAAAAAGAAAATATTGACGTGAATCAAGACCCATTGTGTTTAGAAGGGATCACACTTCACAAGCTAAGTTTAATTACTCATTTCTGCCACAGGACGATTATTTTTTCCTGTATATTGATCAAGCCATCAGCTTTTTTTTGGAACTAAAATTCAGATGAACATTTCCAAACATTATTTCACGATTTGGTCGTAATTACCCCAAAATCGCACAAGAATTGAAGAAGTTACATGGCTACCAATTTGGCAAAATTTGTTGCTGGTCGTTTTTTTCTTCCAGTGAGTGTATATTTTATGCATTCTGCATAAATTTTCGAGATTATCCATTTTTGCACTTTTTCTGTTTAGAGGATAATTCTTGTTTTTAGACATTGCATTCTCAGCTTATACAGGGTGTCCTTAAAAGGTCTTTACAAAAAGCTGCCACATATTCTTCAGACCAAAACAATTCGATACAAGCAAACTTACCTCAGTAAAAAGTTGCTTAGTTTGGGCGCTAGACGGCTCTGAAGTTGAAATTTTCAAATCGATTTTGCTTCATAACTTTGGAACGGCTCATGAGATTTCTTTCAAATTTGGTACGTTGGCATAGACTCATCGGGCAATGAAACTCATATCATAATCATAATGAATATCATTCCATGGGCGTAGAACTTGATTTTTTCAGAAAATAAACATCTAAAACTTCTACGCCAATGGAAAAAAATCAGTTTCAGTATGACATCTAGATAGCCCAAATCATTCACTACAAAAAAGATACTCTTGATAAAATTCGATTACTCTGATGGTTTTGACAATATTTAAGTTTTAGTGATTTCGCGCATATTTAAATAATAAAACGATTGATAGATATTGCATGAAAGTTTTCCAAAATGTTCACTATTTTCGCGTGAACAAAGATTTATACGACGCAAAAAGTTGAAATCCTAATCATAATGAATATCATTCCATGGGCGTAGAACTTGCTTTTTTCAGTAAATAAACATCTAAAACTCCTACGCCAATGGAAAAAGTTAGTTTCAATATGAAATCTAGATTGTTCAACTCATTCACTACAAAAAAGGTACTCTTGACAAATGGTCGAATGGTTTCGACAAAATTTTAATTTCAGTGATTAAGAGCATAATCAATAATAAAACGATTAACAGATATTTCATAAAAATTGTTCAAAATGTTCACCATTTTCACGTATACAAAGATTTATACAACGCAAAAAGTTGAGATGTACTTTTTGCATAGGTTATTTCTATTGAAAATAAGTAGCACTGTTTTTTTTTTCTGAAGACTATTATTATCTGCTCGAAAACAGTGATATTCACATTCTTGGTTTCCATAGTTTCATCTGTGTTGATTTGTCGAGTTTTATTGACGTTGATTGTTGATATCGGACTTTTCTGATTTATCATGGCCGTACAATACACCAATGAAGAATACACCGATATGTTATTGGTATTCGGATATTGTCAAGGAAATGGTCGAGAGAGTATGAGGGTGTATTCGGCAAGGTTTCCAAATCGTCGCGTACCAAGCCACCCAACCTTTGCTACAGTTGAGAGACGTCTTCGGGAGACCGGTCATTTTGCTCCTAGAACTGGTGATTATGGAAGACAGCGTTATGTAAGGATTCCCGAAGTCGAAGTAGAAATTTTAGACCGTATTGAAGAAAATCCAGAATTGAGTACTAGACGGATAAGTAATGAACTAGAAGTTTCTAGGAATGCCGTTCATGAAGTACTAAGAGAACAATTATTATACCCATACCACAAGACGCCGGTTCAAGATTTATTAATCCATGATTCACAAAGTCGTCTGATGTTTTGTAGGTTCATTAATTTGCAAAGAGAAATGAATCTGAACTTTGGAAAGAATATTTTGTTCACTGATGAAGCCTGTTTCACGAGAAGAGGAATAACTAATTTTCATAATGAACACGTTTATGCAATTGAAAATCCTCATTCCATTAAAATAAACCATTTTCAACACGAATTCAAAATCAACGTTTGGGCTGGAATAATAGGAAATTTTATAATTGGTCCTGTCATACTTCCACAAAGATTAACAGGAGACATGTATTTACAACATCTACGAAATACGTTGCCAAATTTGTTGGAAGATTTACCACTCCAACATCGGGTAGATATGTGGTTTATGCACGATGGAGCTCCACCACATTTTTCGGTGGATGTTAGGAATTTTTTAAACCAACAGTACCCAGACAGATGGATAGGTAGAGGTAAGACCCCTGTGAATACTGTAGAACAATTATGGCAACGTATCCAACAGGCGACGAATAATCTTACAGGCGATGAAGAAGTTATGCAAAGAGTACATTTCAACTTTTTGCGTCGTATAAATCTTTGTATACGTGAAAATGGTGAACATTTTGAACAATTTTTATGAAATATCTGTTAATCGTTTTATTATTAATTATGCTCTAAATCACTAAAATTAAAATTTTGTCGAAACCATGAGAGGAATCGACTTTTGTCAAGAGTACCTTTTTTGTAGTGAATGAGTTGAATAATTTAGATTTCATGTTGAAACTAATTTTTTTCCATTGGCGTAGGAGTTTTAGATGTTTATTTCCTGAAAAAATCAAGTTCTACGCCCATGGAATGATATTCATTATGATTATGATATGAGTTTCATTGCCCGATGAGTCTATGCCAACGTACCAAATTTGAAAAAAATCTCATGAGCCGTTCAAAAGTTATGAAGCAAAATCGATTTGAAAATTTCAACTTCAGAGCCGTCTAGCGCCCAAACTAAGCAACTTTTTACTGAGGTAAGTTTGCTTGTATCGAATTGTTTTGGTCTGAAGAATATGTGGTAGCTTTTTGTAAAGACCTTTTAAGGACACCCTGTATGTTTGATATTAGCGATTTTACCTATACGTTTCTGGGGTAATTTCAATGTGGAATATGAGTGAAGAATTATAATGCTCTCAAGTTTCTTGTAATGGAATGAGAGCCGGATCAATTTCTGATTTTGATGAAGACAGGCAATTACTTTGAAAAAATTTGAAGACAAGTATTCTAGTAGAAGCGGTAATTTAAGCTCATTAGAGACCCAAATAAGAAAAATAATTTCTGTAAATGTGTTTGAACTGAGATCATTATGCTTAACTGAGACTAGAGTCATTGGATGGTATTAGTTAGATAGGAGTTCGGACACAGCTGAACTTCTGCCCTTTTCTATTTTCTATATTACAATGGTTTGAGTGAATAAAAGGATAAGACATATACTCTGCTCTCTTTCTTTTCAATCTCCCTAGTAGCGCCTGATTGTCAGATACGATTTTAGAGGTTAGATTTTCTGTTGAAATAGGGTATAAACAGCCACTTCAATTTATATAGCGATACACTTCTCGCAGAACAATAGTTATAAAAATGAAAAGAATTCATGTAACATCGTTTCAATATGACAAAATACACACATATGGATATACTTCTAGCTAGTTCCTTATTGTATGTAAAACTATACCCGAGTGATACAGTTTAAAACATGAAGATTGTCTTGATTTTCCACCTCCTGCTGCAGTCACTTTTAACTGAAAAATTTTGTATTTGGTAGGTATTGAAAACGCCATTCAATGATATAATATCACCTTGCAATTTACTTGATTTCCCCAGTTTCGTTCTCACATTTTCAATTTCATTACGTATAATTTTGCAATCAATTCCTCTTTCTCTATGATAATTTCTGTGAATCATTGAAGAAATGAAATTGCCATTTCCTTCAGAATTCCCGCAATTCATTACACAGCAGGACATTTTTCATTCATGCTTTTTCCCAATAGGTCATGAAATTATATTTCAATTCTGACGTTCATAAAATTTATCTTCAAATTCAAACAGTTTTTTTTTTTTTTTTTTTTTTTTTAAAGCGTTTATTTCATCCCAAAATACACAGAGTGTTACATAGGGATACCTCTAATAATAAGTACAAAAATAACTTGATATCACACAGTTCTGCCCTTCAATCACTATATCTACAGGTAAACATATAAGAAATGTAATGTATAAAGTTAAATTCTAAATATAAAAATTACGGTAGAATAACACAATAAACAAGTTAAGATGTATCACAGTGAAATAGTTGAGATAATAAAATATTTGGTTAGATATATCACAGTAGTAGGTTAATGACTGATATAATGAAATAGTGCTTTCAATGGGTATACAAGGGAACGTGTCTCTTCATGACAATTTTAAATTTGTTTACATTCAATTTTTTTATGTTGGAGGGGAGTTTGTTATATTCTGCTGCTCCTTTATATAACAGTGAATTCAGGCCATGACGTGAGCATATTCGTGGTAAAGATATATCTTTGCATTGTCTAGTTTCATATGGATGAATTTCATATCTCATAGGGAACTCCATTTGAGTGTGTCTCACCTGATTCAGTGCTTGATGAATAAATTCATTAACTTTCACCACATAGAGGCTATCCAGGGATCTAATATTGTATTTGCCGAACAGATTTGATGTTGTAGATCTCATTGGTAATTGATACAGGTTTTTGATGGCTTTGTTCTGTAGTGTTTTCAGTGGTGTTATATAACTCTCAAAAGTTGAGCTCCATATGATAATTAGGTATTCCAGATGGGAATGAACTAGGGAGAAGTAAACTGACCTCAATAGATATTTTGGCACAGTATAACTTAATCTCCGAAGAACACCTACTGGTCCTATAATTTTTTTGCGTACATATTCAATGTGCTCATGCCATGAAAGCTTTTCATCAATGATCAGGCCAAGAAATTTAATTTTACTAGAGTATTTCATAGTACTATTTCCAAATGATATTTCTTTTTTGGTGTAATCAGGCACCTTACATTTATCAATCCACATGAAAGAAGATTTATTCAAATTGAGGGTCAACTTATGGCAAGATAACCATTTGGTCAAGCACTGGAGGTCTTGTTCGATGTTCTGAGAGATGACATCACATGTTTCTCCAAAGTATACAATTGTTGTATCATCTGCATACAGTCGGACTTCCCCTCTAATAGTTATGTTCGTTAAAGAGTTGATGTAAATGAGGAAAAGGGTGGGACCTAAAATCGATCCCTGTGGTACACCACAGGTAATTTTCTTCTTTTCACTAGAATATGAACCGTATTGGATGAATTGCTTTCTATTTGATAGGTAGTCACGAAACCATGTGACATACTTCCCCTGAACACCGATCATTCTCATTTTTTCCAGTAAGATATCATGGTTGACTGTGTCGAAGGCTTTACACAAGTCAAGTGAAACAAGAGCACACTTTTTGTTTTTATCAATTTTCATTTGTACTTCAGATATCAGATCAACAGCAGCGCTGGTGGTGTCACTTGACTTGCGAAAGCCATACTGTGATTTGGTCAATATACTATTTTCTTCAAGATATTCCAGCAGTTGCTTGTTCACGATTTTCTTTTCTTTTGAATGAAAAAGCGCGGAACGACTATGATGCTGTTGTCACAATGCATGGTGTGTAACTTAATGAATCTAAACATTCAAAAACACTAACAGTTGTCATTTCTGTGTCCAAACCTTCATCTAACTAATACCATCCAGTGACTCTAACTGAGACCATCATGCTTATGGTTAAAAAAAGGCCACCCTGTATGAGAAATTGTGCTTGCAGTTCACTGTTGGGACTATAGGCGCCTTCTTGTGAATAAGATTGGTATAACTCTCACGGATGAGCTTCAATTTTCAACTGACCGGCTGAACATCAACTTTTCGAATTACTCTTCTTGGCATTATAGGAGTACCTTGATGAACTTGGATGCAGATAGTGCAAGATATGAACTGAACCTAGTTCAAAATGCTGTATTCACTGATCCAGCTGATAGCAGTGCTTGGTTTTATTTGAGGTGTGTATTATATTCGAGGAGTTCTTCATTTGTTTCTTTGTTATTTTCTCATTCAACTTGTCAAATTGAATTTGATTGAACACTTTGTTGTTTCCGAAGTTTTTTGTGATAAACTTGTGAAATAATGTGGAAGTTTCCTTCAGATGAATTTTCATGAAATGAGTTCGGATTTCCAAAGTTTTATGTCCACGCTGTACAGAATGGAATAAAGTTCAAGTCGTTTTTATTTTCAAAATGAAGCGATTCCTAATTTTCGGGCCGGCAAACTGTGACGTACATTCTGATCTTAGTCTGAATATAGGTGATGATGAAGAATATAGCTAGCGAATAGGCGAAACATGCTAAGGAGTACGCCCTCTGTCGTCCTGAATATACCTAACGTATGGACCATGTAATACTTTGTCTAACTTTGTTCAAATTAGTATACATGTGTTCCATTTGAGGAGTTATTGAATAAATTTGTTTGAAAATATTCAACACGTTGAAAATATAGCATAATACCGCCTGTAAACAAATATAAACAATCCAGGAATGAGGAATGGCCCATAGAGTAGTACCAGTTTCGCCGTTCTGGCGCTGCGATCTTAATCTCAGTCGCCTATAGCTAACGAATAGAAAACGAATGAATTGAGTAGAAGAAGACAACTATAAACTAATAACTGAAGATATAAAATCGACACAAGTGAAACTGGTGAACAAAAAAATACATAACCACTAAATCAGATGAGTTCTCGATGTGCCTGTCAGTATTTTCAATGTTGTGGACGGGCTTGAAGTATTATTCCCTGTTGCAAGATATAATCTGCTACTTTCTTAAAAAATATACCCGTTTCATAAAGGAACAAATACATTTGCAAACGAATAATTGGCAAGTTATGATAATCATTTTGTAATATAACAAAAGTGAGAAATTACAGATACTATTGCAAATTATCACAAGTTTTTTTTATCAGTGATCAACTTCATCTAGCAAATGAGAAATATATGAAATTTATTCATAATACTGGACGAAGTAGGATTAAAAATCTATTATATTCCAATGCTCTTATGATAGTGTTATAATGTATTCAAAGGACAAATTCTGGAAATCCAGGCATATCGATGATGTCGGCAACATCGTACTGACATAGGGAATCGTGTATTTTAACTCTGTGTGAATGTGGCTTCTCTGAAAGTACGTCATAGTAATGGTGAAGGAGCCAAGTTCCTCTTTCATTTATTTTTTTCTAAGGTGAAATTTAATCTTACGAAAATAAGAAAAAATACGTATACAGGTTGTTTATCGAATCGTTACATGAGTATTAAGAAAATATGGCATTAGGCAACATTTTCAGCTACGGAGAATAGCGGTTGTTCCACTGTAGGAGGCAGAGACACAGGCGGAGACTAGCGAAGACGTAAGATAGCCGCATCAGTCTCTTGCGATGTTGCCATCCAAATGCCCTATATGTAACGATTAAATAAACGACCTGCATATAAAAGATTGGGCTCAAGATTGAAGACAGCTGTCCAACATTGTAAGAATTTACATCAACAAGAACACTATGTGATGACAGAGCTATTCAACATATGATTGTTCTCAATTACCACTATTAGATTGAAACTTCGCTGAGCTTTCGGAGGATGTGTACAGGTTGCTCCGATTGAACAACAATTTTGGCCATCTGGCGAAATCAGAAACTACTGGAACCAGGAAGGCATCCAGTATAATTTTGTGTTTACCTGTTTGTAGAGTCACCGGATGGTATTAGTTAGATAAGGGTTCGGACACAGCTGAACTTCTGCCCTTTTCTATTTTCTATGTTACAATGGTTTGAGTGAATATAATAATAAGACATATATTCTGCTCATTGTCATTTCAATTTCCTTAGTAGCGCCTGATTGTCAGATACGATTTCGATTTCAGAGGTTAGATTTTCTGTCAAATCAATTATTGTCGTAGATGGAAAATAGAAATGAGGTATAAACACCAACTTCAATTTATATATATATATATATACACTTTTCACAATAGTTATAAAAATGAAAAGAATTCATGTAACAACATACATTTTAATATGACTAAATAGGCACATATGGATATACTTATAGCTAGTTCCTTATTGTATGTAAAACTGTACCCGAGTGATAAAGTTTAAAAATGAAGGTTGTTTTGATTTTCCACCTCTTGCTGCATTACTTTTTATCGATACATTTTTAATTTGGTCGGTATTGAAAACTCCATTCAATGATATATCACCTTGCAATTTACTTGATTTCCTCAGTCTCGTTCTCAAATTTTCAATTTCATCACGTAGTTTTGCAATCAATTCCTCTTTCTCTATGATAATTTTCTTTTGCATTTCATGTGATGATAATATTGGATTTTTTTTTCAATAGTCTGTTTTGTAAATCAATGGAACAACGGATCTTATGAATCTTGTTTGAAAATGGCCTAAAACATTGTTTCATTCCAATCTGCTGTTATAAGAAGTGAATTTCTATGAACTTACCCCACAAATTTTGCTTGTCCTTGACGAAATTTTCCATCCATGCCGTTTCCTAATTCTTTCCATAAGGAAATGGTTGATATTTCCTTTGGAATATTAAATAAATGAAATCGCCATTCGCCCCATTCAGAATTCCCGCAATTCATTACACAGCAAGACATTTTCATTTATGCTTCTGTCTGAATGGTTTATGAAATATTTCATTTCTGACGTTCATGAAATGTGTTGTCGAATTCAGACAATTTTGATTGAGGGGACGACTATGGTGCTCTTGTCACAATGCAAGGTGTGTAACTTAATAAATCTAAACATTCAAAAACACTAACAGTTGTCATTTCTGAGTTCGAACTCTTACCTTACTAATACCATCCAGTGACTCTAGCTGTTTTAACTTTTTTACTTGGTTTCTACGATATTCTTTGAATTTGTTGATATTCTTCCCTTAGGTACCTAGCAAAACTTTTCCGGAAGTTCAGCAATCTGGTTTGTTTGAATGTTGTTGCATAAAGTGCTTGATTGAATCATATTTCATAAATATTTTCATGAAATCAAATACATGAGAAGATTTTTCAAACTACCGAAGAGGCAATTATATGAAAAAAAAAATAATAGTACTTATTTTTCTATATTTGTCCACGAAACCGACTGTGGATCCAACATTTTTTGTCTATATATATGGTTATATTTTGATTGCAAGGTGGGTGCTGAGTAATCCTGCACTTCCAAAGGAAACACGAGAAGAGCTTCTTAGTGCCCTTGAACAACTGGAAAATCTAGAACCTGATTGCAAATGTAAGTAATAATTATGATATATGGTTTGTAATAAAAAAAATTCAACAGTGTGTTATACTCGTTGAAATATCAAAAAAAGTTCATATATACAGATACTTTTGAACTCGTTGTTTTCAAGATATAGGGTGTTGAAAATACGAGTCTAAATACTGTTTTTTGACAAAAATTTCGAAACGGTTCGAGATAAATCAACAAAAATTCTTACAGATACTGAACTCCTTACACTCTATGAGAGGAAACGAAAACTATTTCATAAAGTAATTCAGTGGCGGCTGAATCTGGGGGTGGTGAAGGAAAAAATCACCCTAATTTCAATATATGCATTCAACGTTGTAACTAAGATGGCTATAAGAACGTTGTAACGCATTGCAAAAATACAACAGAACTATTATATGCAGAAATATATCTGTTTTCACATTTTGTACTAGAAAATGAAAAATTGAATGCACCTAATATAAAAATTGTGGTGATTTTTTCCTTCACCACTCCCAGATTCAGCCAACACTGAATCACTTTATGAAATAATTTTTATTTCATCTTATAGAGCGTAAAAACTTCAGTATATGTGAGAAATATTGTTGATTTATCTCAAGCAGTTTCGAACTTTTCATAAAAAAAAAATTCAGAGTCGTCTTTTCAACACCCTATATCTCGAAAACGACGCGTTTTTAAAAGTATATGTTTATATAAACTTTTTTCATTATTCCAACGAGCTCTCATATGAGGACTTAGCTGGTGATCAGTAGATATACATGAAATTTCATAAACATATGATAAATTGGAATGTCAGAAATTGAATACATCAAGAATTCACGTGCGAATAGAAGCTGTATGAGAGGTGAGTTCGGAAATTAAGGTGTCAGGCAAGATCGGAGTGGTGTTATTGGTGTAGTGTAAAAATCACGTGATTGTGGTGTCATTTTTTGCTCATAGTACTGCACGGGAAATAAACGAACGCGCATTGCCGTCATTGTGACCGTCTGACATGCGCCTAACAGAGGTTGAGGTTCAAATGGTAGTAACTTCCGATGTCACTAAGTGAACCTGGTTTTCGGGTATCCAGGAATGACACGCACAGTACTGTGCTAGAAGTATCTGTATTGAATATGGAAAATATGTGATTATGATAACTGGGAAACATTCAGCATTTTGTGGAGTGCTTACTATAATCATATATTAGAAAATCACCATTTTCATTTGCTATTGAATTTGCTTTAGCTTTCATCAAGGAAAAAGGCACACTTTTATTCTATTCACCGAAAATGATAATGGACAGGTTTGAGAGGCAATCGAGATGACAATATTCGCCGGTGTTCCAATATCCACCGACGAAAAAGGAGGAGTAAAAAGTGTGAACACTAATCACACCAATCTTTCTATTCAGAACGTTGTATAGTGCACCCTAAATGTACACCTAAGCATTTAACGAACGAATCGGTGAACACTGTGTCAAAAGTGTTGACACTTATTCATTTCCGAACTCAGCTGAGAAAGCAACTTCTACATTTGGACGACGTGAGTGTTGTGAATTAATGTAACTGACATAGTGAGATCACGAATCACCGACATAACCTATCTAGACCGCTAATGTCAGAACCACCATGCCCCTCCCCCTTGAGGTTGAATGCACGGAATCAGATGCCGCCATAAACCTAATAGTGGTCTATAGTGGCCGTCCACCCCCACTCACTAACGAGTGGACTTCAACCTTATACATTTGGCAAACTGCATATTGTTTGTAATAACTCCTGAATTCCATGGTTTCATTCATCCGACTTCTAAACCTTTTTGTCAAAAACTATTGGGTTCCTAACCTAACTATATTTGCATGGTGGCCTCTCTACCTAATTGGGTGGCTAGCTAGCTAATGCGCGAGATTTCTTAAAATGATTATTAGCTGATTATTATCAAGCAAGCTTTATCTTGTGTGATTGGGTTGTATTAATCGTGCTGACATACCTCCTAAATCTGTCATTAGAGGTCGGTTAATTCCCACCAGAATGAAAACGGCTCATGTTTCACCTATTTCGAAAAAAGGAAATTCTCAAAATTTTGAAAATTACCGTTCAATTACTATAACTCATTTATTATCGTAAGTGTTTGAATATGTAACATTGAAACAACTACTTAGTTTAATGGGGGAGAAAATACAGTCGTCAAAAATCAGCTCGGCTTTCGTACTGCACACTCTACTGTCACAGCTATTCACAACTTCTATGAAAAATTACTAGATTCACTGGAGGCGGGCGAGAGCGCGGTTTGAATATTCTGCCGATCTCAGCCGTGCTTTTGACTGCGTCCAGCATGATATTTTACTTGAAAAACCTCACATGTATGGAATTCGTGGCCTAATTCATGAATGGTTTTCATCATACCTCGACGAACATTCTCAGAAAATCAAAATAATTCATGTGGAGAATAATAAGAAATCGATCGTCACTTCTAGTGAACTTCCAGTTGGAATTGAAGTCCCTCAGGGATCAGTACTGGGGCCCATTCTGTTCACACAGTACGTCAAAAAGTTGCTTCTGATCCTCCCAAATGCATTCACCTGCTTATATGCAGATGATTCAACGTTATTGTTCAGAGGCCAAACTGAGACTCAAATTCAAAACAAAATCGATAATAGTATTCAGCCATTTTGTAGATGGTCATATGATAACTCCCTGTATATTTGAATGCTTCAGAAACAAATTACTCAACTTTTCATAGCATATGAAATAAAATGTTCCTGTTGTAGAAATAAATATAGATGATTGAACGATAGAGAGGGTTGAATCGGTACCACCGATACAACAAGGCCAGCAGACTCTGACGTAAACAGCTCGTGACGTCACCAAGAGAGGCCAGTGTTTTATTTTATCGCTTGTCGACTAACGCGTCAGTTCGTGTTAATTCATCGGTGATTCACGTATGTTTTTGAAACGGTCCCGAATTATTTTGTTGTTTATTCATCAAAATGATTGGCGGAAAAATTACTGTTTTGTGAAATATTTTGTGTTGTGATCGGCGAAACAACAATGCCTTTCAAGTGTTGTGTTCCCTTTTGTCGGGGGAATTATGTGGGTGGTTCAAAAGTTCATGCTTTTAGTTTCCCGTTGGACGAGGAGCTATCGAAAATGTGGGTATATGCAATTCACCGCGAGGATTTTACTCCATCTAAGTTCATTAGTAAACAGAGCTTAATTTATAATGATGAATTAATAATAGAAGACAATTACTCTCTCATAAAAAGTATAAGTAGAGGAGGCTTTGATTGTGCAGTTAGTTTTGTATTCGTATATTATGGTCAACAAAATCATCTCTGAATTCGAGGAAATTTTCTTGAATGTTCATAATAAACGGGCATTTTTAATTCTCATTCTCGAATTTCTTTCTGAAAACGGTCATTTGCCTCGTGGCAATGAATGCAGAATTCATTCCAACGATCAAATTGCAACTATCATATCAACATGAACTACAAACACTCTACTTAAAAAGGTAAAACTGCATTTATCATTGATATTTGACTAAAAAAATCCAAATTTCACCTTCTTTTTCACCTGTCTTCTGGATGGCATTTAGAACAAATTTCCCTTCTTTTTTCATCATATTGGACAATTTATATATAATTCAACTATAAACATAATTTTTCTTTTTTTTTTTTTCTTTTTTTTATTACACTATTCAACAGATACAAGATCCAATTACAGAATAGGAATATACTAAGTGTATTACTAAAATTATTTTCTTAATACATAAAATTACACATTGGAAAAAACAGAACAGTCCAGTTTTTTTAAGGATGCCAAACTGCAGCAAAAGATGTCAATGGTTTCATTCATCGTATTATATATCGAACACATCTTGTAAACAGGTGCATGGAATTTAACATTAGTGCGACAAAGTGGAAGGTAGAAACTATTATTTCTCCGGGTTGTGAGTCTGGGAACATGAAAGTGTATCATCTCCAAAATGCAGCTGCAGTCCAAATTGTTCCGGATAACATTGAAAAGGAATATAACATGCGACCTATTTCGACGATCTTGAAGTGAAGCAACTGAAAATCTTGAAAGAAGTTGATCATGTGGATGACCTACATCTGGGTAGTTGCCATCAAGTTTAAAACATAAGTACTTCAAAAATTTCCGTTGGATATTTTCCAAATTAGATATATGTACCTGATAATGAGGTGCCCAAACTATTGATGCATACTCTGAATTCGATCTAACAAATGTGAAGTATAATTGCAGAAGCATTTTCTCATTTCTTCCAAAATGTTTTGATACTCTAATAATGAATCCCAAAGATCTATACGTTTTTTTGATGACTTGCTCGATATGATTTCCAAACGATAGTTTTTTGTCAAATATTACTCCTAGATCTTGGAAAGTTTCAGGTCGGTTCAAGGCGACATTGTCTAGTTTATAATTGAAAATAATTGGATTCACCTTGGCGGTAAAGGACATAACATGACATTTGGAGACATTAAGGAATAAGTTATTCTCGATGCACCAGGCATTGAGTCTGTTAAGATTGTCTTGTAGAACAGTACAATCCTCTTCGGTGACAATTTCATGATATATCTTAAGATCATCAGCATACAATAGGTGATTGATGGTGAGAGTATCTACAATGTCATTGATGAACATTATGAATAGTAAGGGCCCGAGGTTAGACCCCTGGGGCACACCTGACGTAGGAAGGACTTCAATAGACCTATGACCATGGAAGCTTACATACTGCTTTCTATCAAGAAGGTAAGATTGGAAAAATGATGTGAGATTTGGAGTTAGTCCATAGTTCGAAAGTTTGTGAAGTAGAGTTCCATGGTCCAGCCTATCGAATGCCTTCGAAAAATCCGTATAAATTACATCACATTGAGAGCTATCATCAATGGTATCAGATAACTTCTCTGTGATGCAAACTAAATTTGTGACCGTTGACCTTCCTTTGAAGAAACCATGTTGACTAGGGGTAATTTGATTTCTAACGTGCGAATAGATTTCATCGTAGAGAAG